TTTTTGTTAGGTTTATAAATCACAATTTATTTTAGTAGCATTCAACTTGACCTGAAAAGGTTCAACCTCCAAATTAATGAAAGCATTGATATACAGTAAAGGTTTATTTATCTTATATATATAAATACGTTGTTCCACCAAGGAGCACCAGTGTGCTTAAACGGACAAAATGGTAATTCAATATCGTCATTTTGGTGTCATATTCTGTATCACTGGTCCAGTATTTGAAATTTGAAAACTAGCCTAATATACTCTACAATGAGCACATGTGCAAACCGCAGAACATTTTGCTCGGAATAATACACGCAATTACTCTTCCTCGTGCTAAATGCCAAAAGGGTTATTCGAAATTACACCTGAATACCATGGACATTCTTTCCCAAAGAACAGCATAGCTATTGGACAGTGTTTGCTAACAGGTTGAGATGGGGTTACAACCAGGTGACGAAATGCATAGCTTGGGACTTGGAGGAAAGTAGTGCTGGACCTCTGAGCCACCCATCTCGACGCACAGCTTTATTAATAGCTGCAGCGCTTTGCCATTTAGCAGAAAAGGGTCACGTGCCATTAACATCATACGACATTGCTGCACTGGGTCACTCTTTCAAAACAAATACTACTACTACAATATTAGTTGAAATATTCTCAACAAATTGATTGAAATCAAACCGCTGCATACAAATCAATATGACGTGAATAATATTTAAATCACCCGCAAAGTGTGCGACATTGTAAGATTCATGAGACTCCATTAATGTCATGTATGCCTGATACAGTGTGCTGATTTATTGATAAATTGGGGTCATATAACATCACCAATCCTCATGTGTAATTTGAAGGTGACACGGTACCTTTAAGGCAAACAGCACACAGAACTCGTATTGGCTTCTGTGAATTATTTGACCTATGGGAAGAATGTTTAGAAATGGAATTAGCTCCAATAGGTTGGATATTGATTGAAATACTAAGACTAAAGTGTGCCCATGTGAACCCAGCTCAGAAAGTCCATTGGGGAATTATAATAATGCCACAATAAAACTAATGTGGGATTATTATAATACTGTAGTTCGAAGTGATCATTGTAATTCACAGGTTAAAACTAGCTTTGTAGTATGAAATACATGTTTAAAATTGTAGATTTGAAGTTTTCGTGACTGAAATGATCCATACTCTTTGGTTCTTTTGGTAAAGTCCAATTTTAATCAATTTTGCCGATTTTTTTATGGAGAAGTTTTTTAAAGTTCAAAAGTTTAATAACGTTTCTTATTTGTACCATCATATTAAAAGGGAAGTACATTTTATTCACACTTAGAATGAAAGTGGAATTAAATAATGATACCATGCCTATTAAACTGATATATATTAAGTAATGAATCACAACTGCTTTGACTGAAAAACCAAAGAAAATTGACATTTTTAAATCAATTAACGTTATTTTCCAAGTGGCTATTGACACGTAACAAGAGTATTAAGCAGCACATATACATATTGTGAGACCACAATATAGATTATGCATTCTATTAAACATGAGCTTGACAGGACCCTCCTAAAAAAGAGGATTGGAACTCAATGAGGCTTTCCGAAGTAAACAAGCACAATTATGACTTTACTATATTACATAATGGCTTGCTTAGGACCTCATTGTCTCAATGCAATCGACTACGTTGTGTTACGAAATCATTAGTATGTTTTTCCCAGCATGTTTTTCCTTACCATAATAGGGCTTTAGTTTTCTATCCATTCACAATATTGCCCACTTTCCTTGAGACTCATTCTTTCTCAGTCGTGGCTATCTTGTTTTGGCAGACTTACCTATTGATGCCTTCTGTTCTGCTGACACCGTGTGTGGAATATAAAAAACTAGGAGCCACTCCTACGAGCATCGTCAGCGACATCGCTTTGGGGTTCAACGTCGTGTGGGGAATTGGACATTTTAATGTTTGGCCACACTGGACATTACAAAGACAGCGTGCAGCGATGTGACTGCGTGTGAGATAAAACATCATGGGAAATTGCGTTATGGTCGATGTGGAAAATGTACCACGTGTGATTGTAAGTCGCACCAAAACATTGCTGAGCTCTGCAATTTAATTAATTCTTCTAAATAATTTCACTCTCTCTCTCTCACGCATATACATTTCAATAATGGGAGTTAAGCACACACATCAGGCCATGCATGGTTACAGTATTTTATCATGTAATTATTCCATGAAAAAGTACTTATTATGCCTTGCTTTTTCCCATCATTGATATTAAAATTGCACTACAGATATTACCAGTAAGTAATATCTTTACTAAACTCTTTAGGCCTGGAATGATTTACTCCCCTCGGGATTTGATGAATTACCATTATTTGAGGAACTCTACGATTCGATTCAAGAATCTGTTATTATTTAAATTGTTTACATTTTGGGTTCACGAAAGCACTTCTTGTGAACTCCGATTAGCGTGGCTGGCTACGTATGGTGCGAAAGAAGTTCAACATACATGCATACACATAACTCAATGGTCATAAATTCTCAGTCACGCACAATGCAATGCACTCATCTTGAGTATATTACCCTCATCATCAGAAAATTACACAACAGAGCTATTTTGGAGTCACCTTAAGAGGCCTATGTATGTAGATAGCACGTGCCTTTTTGATGTCCGCAATCAGAGTGTGATGAATACCAAATATACCAAATGATAAACAAACACGTTATGCTTCAAAGCTGAGTAAGGCAAAATACTTAAATAAATTACATGTATAAACGTTACGGGTTTTTTTCTGTGATGTAATTGGTAAAGAGGCTGAGATGGCATCTCACTGCACCGGAGGGCCTAGTTCTACTAGCACGGGTGGCTGCCAGGATTCTAACCCGAGGTGTCAGTAGCGCTGTTGCATGCGCGAGTCTTCACCCCTTCAGCCACCTCTCTTATGTCAACTTTCAGTATTTTCTTGTTCCTCTGCTGTTCCAATCACACCAGAAGCTGTAAGCCATGACCTGACAAGTTATGTGAGGCCGCTGAGCAATGTTTGAGGTATTGTGAGGTTCTGTGGCCAAGATCCACACCTTTGAAATCAAATACGAGGGTCAGTGGTATGGATTCCATTGCGAGCAGGGAGTTGAAACTAATAAACATGACTGGGCAGACAATTGCATTGAACCTTAAAACAACTTCTTATCAGCAGAGTATGGTATTAGCTTCAGCTTTATTCTGCCCGAATATGAAACTGTTAAGGCATACCGTTGAACACAAGGGTTGTCATGCTTTATAGCATGTAGCAAATAGGAGGGAGTAAAGTTAGTGGGTGAGGCAGGGATATTTACAATGTATAATTTACATCACTTTATGAGTGCACTGCAGGATGAAGGTCTCACCACGCTGACCATACTTCACCATAGTGATCGTGTACAGGTTAGTGAAGGGCGCTGGGGGGGGGGGGGGGCAGATTCAGCTATCACGCACGCGCCACTGATGTTAGCCGTGGCTGTAAACTTAAACGCGGATCGCCGAGTTCACAGCGCACTGCGCTAAACGAATTGCCACCGCTCCACCCCGAGGCAAGGGATGAAGTGCGTGATAGTATCGTGATCGCGGTTTACCACTATGCAGTGCTACGCACATTATTACATGTCTATCTTAATAATCCCATGAGTAACGTGGAGTGAAATGCGATATGAGCGATTCTAATGCTATATGAGCGATATTATTCAAAGGCTGTGACTCCAGCAGAACATTAAACTGCGGTATAATACAGAAACCTCCACTCCAGAGCAGTGCCGATGATTGACCCACAGTCTGGGACCCTCCAAGTAAATAAGTTATAGCGCAACATTGGAACATTTATGATTTTCATTTGCGAGTGGAATAATTCACCTCCCTGGCAATTCGATAAATTGCTGCAACACAGGGCCACCTATGAGAAATAAGAATAGGTTTCACCCTTTCTGGCAATAAAAAAACGTATGTTAAGATGTTCAAACACCAAACAGATGCCGACTTCTTGTGGTGAACATGCAAACACACATGCTCTGATAATATATGCAGTCTTTGAAACGTATTGGCCGCCACCATAGACAGACATTATTACAATATTATTATCAGAGCATGTTTGTTCGAATGTTCACCACAAGTACGTGTGGTCAACGCAGACTTGATCCCTTGCAAAATGTATATATTTGGTGTTTGAACATCTTAACGCCTGTTTTATTGGCAGAAAGGGTAAAACCCATTCTTAATTTTCACACGTTGATACCTGCAACAAGGTCCCATGCTAGAGGGCCACCAGGAGATTAATGAGGTGAATGGTAGCGCCTCTGGTGGTTGCATGAAGTGAACCCGTAATGTACAATATGCAGTGCTGTATATACATTACACATCTATTCTTACACAGGTAGTTGAACCCTTGTCGTGAGAATTGGAATGAACTGTATATTAATCGCTAAATCTGAGCATCAGTTCACCCATAGTGTTTATATATTATATCAACACATGCATCTGAAGGCATTGTAGTCACATGTTTCCCACTTTGGCCATAGGAATTAATGTGGGAAAATCATCATGTGACGGTTGTGTGATCACATACAACCAATAAGACAAATGTTGTCTTATTGGTTGTATGATCACATACAACCAATGGATGTGTGTATACGTTGCGAGTTTCTTGAACGTTCAGCATGTGGTATCAAAAGGAGGTTCACGAAGGTGTGGGTTTTGCATTATCCTGGGTGGATTGGTGGCACTGTGGCGAGCACACTGCACTTTGAACCCGTCCGACCCGAGTCCGATCCCAGACACGGATGGCAGTAGCGAGTGGTATTTTAACCGTTCCTGGATGCCCTCCCTTCACCAACATGCACCGCACAGAGTGTTGAAATACGGCCAAGCAACTGCCATGGCCAATACGGCACCGGGAGGCCTTCATCCGGCAGTGGATTGAAAATGGGCTGTCCAATGATAATAAATGCAAGCGTTATCTTATTGATATGTGAGAGCAGATACACATACAAATGTAGCACTGTTGTAACTTTATTCCAATCCTTAGTAACAGACACCAACACCACGTCATATGAACCATTCCAGTCACTTATGATCGTCACAGCAAAAAAACTCAACAACAATCGTATGCTCGTAAGGCAAAGTCAGACGGACCAAACAGCTATTGCAAAACCTAGATTTACATTTATCTAGCACACACCGAAGCTGAGTAATACGTAACATCTACAATCAATATCAAAATGTACAGTAGACCTTCATTCAAATGGACCAGGAATTTACCGTTACAGGTTAATAAAAGCTTATACTGTATTCTTTTTTTTTACATATTTCATATGCAATTATGTAACATGTAATTAACTTGTCAATCGATACACTTATTAAAACACATTTCTGTACATGGGTGTGTCATCAATCAGTGCTGGATTCGAGAAATGTGATATAAAATAAAATAAACACTACCCAACATTTACCACCTTACAGATCACTTGACCCAAAAAGTATCCATACAATTCTTGGGGATAATAAATCATTCAATTTACCCAAAGTATGGGTAAAAATATTCAAAGCAAGCGGTAAACTTATTTTGCTGCTTTGAGTGCTTTTAGTATAAACTCTCATTAGATACATAGTGTAACACACGTGGTATATTGTTTTAATCTGTTTCTTTAAAGAAATAAAAGTACGTTAACGTAAAACCCTTCAAATTTACACGCGATTAAGTTGTTTTTATACCGTCATATATTTAAGCAAATGCTGTTACATGTAAGGCTGAAGCAAATGTGTGCTCAAATACAATATTTACATCAAACATGAATGCTCTATAACCACTCAAATTGGCATGTGCGTCATATATTGGCAAGTTAAACACATCTACTTATATGCAACGTGAACTGGTTATTAATCAATATTCTGAAAGTGGTAATTGCTACACAGCAGCATATATTGCATGACTGCAAAAGACACAAATGCAATAAAAGATTCGGGTAGTTTATCAATTCCAATTAAACGTTGAACGTTATACACCCTCTGGAATATGGAGGTGCTATGTTTATTAATGACAAAATGATAGCACAGCATATGCTAACATTTTTTTTTATGATTCAGATTTAAGTAATGTGTGCCTGACATACCACAGAATGGGTGAACATAATGCAATAACGTTAATGCATAATTTTAAAAGATGTGATATTACGTGACTACTACAGAAAAATAACACCATACACAATAGTAAACATTAGTAAATGTTTACATTACAGCGCAACAACACTGTACATGCAGGATAGCCCCTTCTCCCAAAGCATTCCATTGTAGAAAATCCGTTTTTTTTAGACAAAATAAGTTACAAAAACCACATATAGATATATGGATACACATATCTCTACAATGATTTTACGTGACATTACATAGTGCAAAAAGAATGCAGCAATGAAGCTCACAATTAGACTTGCAAGGCAACTTCAAAATATGCAAAATGCAGCACTGTTTTGCATTGCAATGTTCATATGTAAAGGTATCCCTCGATTTGCGCGCGTTTGGTTTACAACATTTCACTTTTCGATCAACGAAATCCAATTTCCGCGTTCACGCAAGTTCACACGGCACCTGCAATGAAATCAAACAAGAGCCACCCAGGAGGCTGTCTCAACCATCTGCAACAGTATCACAGTATCAGTGCAACATCAACGCCTCCACATCACCTTTACAGTCATTCTAAAATGCAGCTCTTTTTGCGAGTTGCCTGAAAAGGTAAATTGTTTTTTTTATCTGAGACTCGCTATTCAATCGTTGTAATCGTTATGTTCTTCATAAAACAAACATTGTATTGCGATAAGTGATGTGTGTATCGATTTCGGTGAGGAGTAGAGTTGGATCGACTGTCCGAAACACATCCTTTATTTTAAGTTTTTTCATTAATGGGAAAAACCATTCGAATTTACGAAATTTAGTTTGACACGTGTTTTTTTGAAGAACACACCCCTTCGGAAATCGAGGGATACTCATATATATATTTTTTTTATGCAGAGCTGTTTTTGCAGCTGAAACGCAAGGACCCCTTTGAAATGTCCGTGTTCATTGTGGAGAGGGGGAAGTTCTCCAAGTCCTCCTCCACGGGGTTGCACTGGCAGCACAGTATTGTAGCCTTGAGCTCCTTCTGAAAGTTATTGTTGAGAAACCCATAGAATATTGGATTTATACAGATGGAGAGCATGGCTGTCAGGTGACACAGCGAGAAGATGAGGTCATGCTGGCAGTGAAGTAGTAAAGTTGGGTTCCAGTCAGAAACGGCATTGAAGGCATAGAGTGGCAGCCAGCAGATGGCAAACCCTGCGACTATGGCCACCAGCATCATATTAATCTTTTTCATGTGCGAGGCCCTCACTCCGTTGCCCCCGCCCTCCCTTCCTGTCGGCAGCATCTTCTTGCGCTGCCGCAGTCTCAGGAATATCCTCAGGTAGCAGAGGAAGACGAAGAGCAGCGGGCAGCTGAACTGAAACACCAGCAGGCTGGTGGTGAATGCGAACTTGGAGGTGTCCGAGGGCCACAACTCAATGCACGCCACCTTCTCGCCATAATCTGGGAAATAGTGTGACAGGTTGCGGTATGGCTCGTCGGTGAGCACATGGAATGCAAGAAATGGAGAGGACATTGCAAAAGCTGTCACCCAGATGGCACCAATGGCTACGTAGGCATGGTTGAGGCTGGGCTTCCAGCCGGTGGGATTGATGATGAGCTGGTGCCTCTCTATGGCGATGAGCACCAGCGAGAAGATAGACACGCTCACGGCCGAGCACTGCAGGAAGGGGCTGCCCTTGCAGAGTGCCTCTCCAAAGATCCAGTGGTCCATGAGTGTGTAGGCGATGGTGAGGGGCAGGCACACGAGGCCGACCAGCATGTCAGAGAACGCCAAGTTGACGATGAGGATGTTTGTCACATTGTGAAGCTCGCTGTGACGCAGAATGACCAGCACAAGCAACGAGTTTCCCAGTAGCCCCAGGGCTATGAGCACACAGTAGGTGGCAATCACGAACGATCTGACTGCCTGTGGTGTCTGGCAATGGTCCAGGTCAAGCGGAGGCATTTCACTCCAGTTAGACTGATAAAACCTGGACATGTTCCGCACGTTCAGAAATTCGATGATATCCATCGTGGTGTGTCTGCTTCCACGCTGCTTCCTTTAACTGGCTCGCCACTTTATTCACCAGGATATGGGACCTGAGCCAAGCAGATTTTGCGTGTCTTCAAGCCTCCTTCTCCTCCGATGTGACATGCTTGCCACTTGTGATTTAAGGGGAGGCATCAATCTAATGTTCTTAATTTACACTCCACGTCTTTAGAAAACACCCTGAAATAACAATGCAGCATAGGATTAAATTAACATTTTAATAATTCTAAATATCCAAGTTGATCACACTGTTATAGGAGTAAAATATTACATTTATATTTCTGACATATAAAGCTGACAAAAGCAACATTGTATAATATGTACATCGAGCACCGAAAGGTAGTATTTATCAGGTTATTGATTTAGTGTAGATTGAGCACATCTTTAAATGTGTGAAATGTTTATATGAAGCGTCAACTGGTTTGTTTGATATGTCGACTGTCAGAAAGACGAGTGGTTCAACGAAGTCCAACTCAGGGTAAACATGTAAGATCACATGGGCACGTGTATACACAACACAAGCATCTATACACAAGGGGCAGCGTTAACGTGTTTGAGGGTATTTAAAGTGTGCACTCACATGCACTTTACTAATGGACTCGCTCTGTGTTACAATATTCATCCGAATAATAAGACGCACCTTCCCGCCCCCCCCCCCCCATTTTAAAGCAAAAAGATAGGATCTGCGTCTTATAAATCGGTATATGCGCGTGACCAAGATTTACATTATCCGTATGAACACTGTGCAGAATGTTGGGTCGCGTCTTACTTTCTGGAGCATCTTGAAATCCGGCGAGTGCGGTTATGCGGTAACCCAAATGATCAGCGCACTTGCGACCTCGTGGCTGCAAGTGCAGGCCATTAGAGGGAGTTCCAATCGTGCGTGCCGACGGGTATGATGTTTTGTAACGTCTCGAACAAAACCAAATAAATTACCAACGTGAGAGAGTAAGTGCGTGTGCGCTGAAATGCACACATGAAACTAAATACGCGAGCACATTAACGCGGATCTATTTGACGATTATACGAATATAATCTAATATAACATCGAGGTTATGCAACGGGGCTTAAATCCGCACACTGCCAAATCACGAAAGCGCGTTTTATTTCCCGCTTCTAATTCTTTACACTTCGCAGGCGCCTTTCACCGCCGAAGATCACAAAGGGGCTGTACAAAATACACACACGCGCGCACAATTTGGACAGGGCTCATCCTGCACGATCACAATTACACGACCAGACGCGCGTTTGCTGACAGCTGGCGCTGCTGTGAACAGCGTCTCGTAGGTACAACACTCACTTGTATTACATCATTGCGCTCCATTTAAGGCTTCCCGATTACGAGAGGCGCAGTGCAACTGCTTTAACGCTACCGATTTATTCGGGAACAAGAAACCGCGTTGATAATCATCAACACACACGCGCGCGCATTTAGCTTGCATGGCGAGAAAAGCGGGCTCTGGTATGAGTTGAATTGAGATATTTTTCACTTCTAATTTGAAATTAGTGCGAATAGAGCAAGCCGCTGGAAATATCATTAAAGGTACAATATCGTGATATAATTGTGCACTGTCAATAACGCGGTTTAGACAATCACACGCCTTGCTTAATTCTCTTCGATGCCGTGCACTGGAACGCTCTGTGTGAGTTAAGTGTTTGCTGCACAAACAAAACCAGGAGACCGTAGACTCTCACGGAGAACCAACGGACTCGTATAGGGATCCACACTTACAGAGACACCCAGATAGATTCTACCCAGACATCCATAGGAACCCATAGACTTACACAGAGACCCAGAGACCCATAGATTCACATAAACCCAAAGACTGGCATAGATATCCATAGGACGTTTAAAAGAGCCCGATAAAACTCGCATACGTTTGAGCCACAGACTTAACAGAGACTCATGACTCAAATCGAGACCACAGATCACGTTTCTGTTCAAAACCAAATGCAGGACTTTCCTTTTCCCTTCTGCCTATGAGCGGACTGCATTCTCCATCCAAGAGTTTATTGGAATAGAGGGCAGTCATTTACTTTTTATTCTAAACTCCACTTTGTCGTCCAATTGAATGTCACGCACCTTCTCCGCTGTATTGAAGCCTGCACCACGGGGTTGCCGGGCGCGTGTCCCCGCTCTGCGACAATCACTCCGTGCTCGCCAGGAGGGACGGCCGAGAGATGTGAAGGTGCAGACGAAGGCTCTCTCACTGCCCGACCCCACATCCCCCCCCCGGCACCTCCTCCTCCTCCTCTCACCGGGGCGCGCGTACTTCTTAAAAAAAAACCCCAACAATCCAGTCGCCGCCTCCTTGCGCGCACGTGACTGTGATGTGAGCGCGGGTGGTGGTGGTGGTGCTGCTAGGGGGTGGGAGTAGGTGGGTGGGAGATGTCAGCGTATGTGGGGGGTGGCTGGAGGGACGATGCTGGGTGGCGTAGGCGGAGTGTGGTGCTGTAGAGGGGGGGGAGGTGATGATGTTGAGGTCAAGGGACCTAAGCCGCGGAGATGTGAAGGAGGAGGAGGAGGATGGAGGCGTCTGTGTGTGTGCGGTGCTGGGAGCGGTCGTGTGTGTGTTGAACTTCCTTCACACCGCTCGCTAGACAACCGTGCCGATTGGTGGTGGAGCGGTTAGCGCGCTGCGCTGCGAGCTCAATGCCAGCTCACGACCAACGTCAAGTGGCGATTATCTGAACCGGTCCTGGGATTCCCCTAGGTCGACTCAGCCTCAAATGAGTACCTGGTGCGGTGTGTAAACATCGCCACTTGGGGAGACAAAGGCGGTCGGGCGTGGTGCTGGCCACCCACCCCCCTGTAGTGCCGTACCGGCCTTCATAGGCGCTCGCTAACGGCACTTGCCCCAACAGTCTGCGAAGGCTATTCGGGGGGATCTTTTGTCTTTGGTGCGGGGCGGGTGGGGGGGGTTGCGGAGATTTAGTTGGTTCGGGAAGTTGGGGAGGTGGGCTGGGTGGAAGTCGAGTTGGATGCTTGCCTTTGATGCAACGATGATGAACTGGTGATGCGTGTGAGAAACACGTGTTGGTGCCCGAGAGATATTTACCGAGCTCTCGGTGTGTTTGTGTGCATGCGTAGCACACTGCGGAGATGCGACGTTTAATTGCCCTGCAGTTCAGAAGCCTCAAACGTCATTTTTCTTTTATGATGGGGGTTTCAGGTCATTTTCGGCATATATTTGAATGTCTGAGTTCAGATGCTGCACAGCGGTCAAACGGCACAGAGTAATAACACCGGGGCAGTCCAGACGCTGACCACGGTTGGCTCTTGGTAAGTTCCTGCGCGATCCACGTGCCAGGCTTTACTGGTGTTGTCTGTCGCCTGTGCGCCCTATATTACTCTGGCTTTGTGTATACAATAATTGTCACCAAGGGTTTTTGTTTTAAAGCACGTGACAACACTTGAGCCGGGAGCATGTGATGCAGCACTTTTGGAGCAAGGCTTGGCACCAGGAGATGGTAGTGCAGAAAATTGAGTACTGAATCCCATCTGTGCGGAGATGTGAATGCGTGGTGGGTTAATCTCCAGTTTCTATGGTTTCATTCCACATGGCAAACACTTCAGACTCAGCGAGGCTCAAAGAACATTGGATAAGGAACATTGCCATTACCCATTATTATTGTATTTTTATTGTTCTCAATCTTTCATTCATACAAAGGCGTCAATCAAAAATGTTCTTGCTTATGCTGAAATGTGGTGATGGTTTATGCAGCCAGGGATATTCTAGCAGGGTGAATAGATGGCTTGCGTATTTAAAACTCGTGACATTGTAAACTGACCGTGTTGCCCCACGTGTAACATTGTCGGTGTCGGAACTTAAATGACATTTCAGAGACAGCTTGTGACGCCACCTTGTGACGCCACCCTCATCGCTCGTCCCACTTTGTGTTTAGCATAAACAGAAACAGCGCTCGGTCGTTTCCTCAAATGATGAAGATTTGTAAGCCCAGGACGGCTTCGAGAGGTCGTAACCCATTGATACCCAATTCGCTTCGTGTTTTCTCATCATCAGTCCTCAATTCTAAAATACCAACTGACACAATTGGAAACGTTACGTACACGTGTTTTTTTAGCCCCTTTGTCTATTCACTACTGAATAGAGCCCTCCCCCCCACCCCACGCCGTCGAGGTCGTGGGGTTGTTTGACCATACTTCACCACGCTGGTCAGTGCCGGTTTACGACTGGCGGCCAAATAATTGTTTCAGTCAACACACGTCACTCATGTTAAGCCGTGAATCCAACTCTGGTGGCCAGGTTCATCGCGAGACACGCGATCCACTGCAACGTCACTGATCGCTGCAATAAACATAATTTATTATCTTCCCAAAGTGCGAACTAATAACTACGGCTCTATCATGGAGCCAATAAATATTGGACGCAGCGCGTAGAAAGCGTTGTACAGTACTTTAAACATGATAGCTACAAGTGGCAGGGGTTGGTGGAACATCGGGGGTTACACAACGACCAAATGATAGTGTAAGCACCATGCTCTCCTGATTCAGCAGCACAAATCCCCGTAAACACGAGGCCAACCCTGACCTGGCAACGTTGCTCAACAGTTTCTTCAAACAGCGCTTTACAGATCACATTTTTGTCCAGATGCCTTTTATAGTTGCCCAAACGCAGCTCCCAGCAGCAACAGCAGCAACAGCGCACTGTGGCGGAAATCCCGATGTTTCTGTACGGGACCCTGCAGGAGTGCGTGACACTTCAGCGGCAATCGATGGTTTTGGTACTCGCATTCGCACGCAACATCGATTGTTCCAGTGACTTATTATGCGTCCTTATGGCACGAGGCACGAATGAATGCGGTACAAGCGTATTAATTAGTAGATGGGGGACATCTCGAATTACAAATAAATACGAGATGTGAGCCGCGGAAACGCCCAGGTATTTACCGTTCAGCACTTGGACACGATTGTTGCTGTGCAGGGAGGGACATGCACTAATAATTATAATTCTTCACGACGGGAACTTCTCAATAATTCTCCCAATATTTTGTGTCTGCCAATTCATGTTGGGCCACTTCATATTTCATAACTTTTTTTTGCGCGTGGGGTGATGAAGTAATAACACTGTGATGTCCTTCATTTACCCAGGAAATCCTCGCTAAGTCTTAAGACTATATTTGTTTTTTTCCAGAATCCTGCCTTAGGACGGTTGGCCAATTCGATCATGAGCGTTTGGCTTCATGTGTGAGGAAACTGTAGTTCCCGGAGAAAGCTCGAAAATGCCAAGGGGGTAACACCCAAAGGCTTCACACAGATATAATACACTGATTTACTCCCAAAGGCTTCACACAGATATAATACACCGATTCACTCCCGTCATCTCCTGGCCACTTTGCAGTCTTAGCATACAGCATCCTGTTACTTTCTTCTTCCCAAAAGCAATCACCCATTCAAGTAAGTACTGTACTGGCCAAACTCCATCCACCCTGCTTAGCTTGTGGAATCTGACGAGATCGGTGCATTCAGCATGATTGGGTGAGGTTGTGAGATGTTAACTACCTCGCCTGGTATACAGGAGGCATGGGTTCGATCCCGATCCTGGCGCCTGTATATTTGGAGTTTTACTTGTTCTCCCCGTGGTCATGTGGATTTTCTCCAGGTCCTCCGGTTTTTCCCTTCACATTTTGAAACGTTCGCTTTGAGTATTTGGCTGCGATACATTTCCACATGATAAGCCACTTCGTTGCGCTATCATTTGTGGCCAGGTCGCTTCTGAAAAAGCGCTCTATATAGCTCAGTGAGCCTTACCTGGTAAAATAAAACATAGTTTCGTTTATAGTTTAGTTAATTTTACACTGGACTGCCCACGCACATACACGATGGAAGAACACTCAAACTGAGCACGTAAACATTATAACCCATGTCCTATACTGTACCCCCTCCTCCCCCATCCCTCATATTCGTAAAGCGTTTCACAGTCCAAGTCGCCAGGTCGCAGCATCTTGGCGTGAATGTTTGTGTGTGGACGCGATATGAATCTACATTGTGTTGCAACCTTGTGTAGTGTGGCCTTGTTTGACGGCGGGAGGCATGACAAAGCTCAGCGGCACGACACCGCCGTCGTTGCTGTTCAGCAAAACTTTAAACAAATGTTGAACGCGAGTCACGATACGATATGCTTTTGTCTATCGTGCATTCTGCGCTCGCTCTTCCTCCTCAATGCATTTGAGAAACAGCTGTAACGAACCTTAACTTCTCATGGTTTTGATCGCAAGAATTCAGAAAGGGGTCCGAGTATTCAACCACCGACGCTACCGAATTATATATTGTAAATCCTAAACCGCATCACCACGACTAAAAAAAAAATGCACGGCTGTACCCGGAGAAACGCAGACTTCGACGGTGTTTCGAAGTATCTGCTTCAACCCTAGATGGGCCCAACCTTGGTGACCTGATCTTTGTCGGCCGTCGAGCTTGTCCCCCAGGGTTAGGAAAATATTTTGAAAAAAATGTATTTATCTGGAGGTCGATGGCTCACGAAGCTGGGCTGTACTGCGGTCGATTCACTTCTCTGTTCCAGGAAAACTGGATTGCCGACCCCACGATCTCGTGCCTCCATCCGCGTGCTGCAGGTTCCACATCCGGCAGCCTCTGCAGGGTTATCCATTTGTAGATGCCCCCCGGGGCTTTATTTTTTACTCTGTATTTCCCTGAACGCTGCTAGGCTGGCTTGCAGTAGACCTCGGTTTAATGGCCACCACTTAAGTACAAAGTATGCCGATCCATAATCCGATACGGTTAGCTACGTATGGTTCGAAAGAAGTTTAACAAACATACATATTATGGCACCCAGTGCTCCTTTAACAATATCAACATATGTATAGGAATATAGGGTACGTTAAAGACAACATAAAGCAAGATAGATTGTGGCGTGCCATAATTATTCCCAGAACAGCGTTCCAGACTGTTCCAGATGAAAGTAATCAGTGGATATATGCCATTAAAATAATCAGAAACTATAGAGAATTTGGCAGCGTGTTTTGAGACTCCAGACGCACACGCACCCACGCACGCATTGAGAGTTGATGTTATGCTGCACGGGTTACGAACCATAAAGTGCAGTGGCGTCACTCAGGGTTTATGGGAAGATGAACAATTGGCCACCCCCACACACTTTCCTCCTTAGAGGGCTGGCGTTTGCCCGTGAGGCCATGTATGGCACTAATTGCTATGCACTGAATGCCTTGCGAAATTTACTACCTATAGCCTTGGTGGTGCATAAACGTATGTGTGTGTGTGTGCATATATATGGGTCGAATTAATTGA